TCTTCTCAAATCCCTCTTATTACGGCTTGTTTACAGCCAGCGAAGCAAGTCAAGGTTGACGTGTAAAAGACATTGAGTCTCTTGGTGTTGAGGAGGGATGACAACATGCGGCGAGATTACAACACAAAGCGAGATAAAGTGAGACATCAAAACAAGTGAAATGTTGTCAGTGGCAGGCGACAATACTGACAGCCCTCGCTAAATAACCCCATGATGGAAAACCTTTCAGTTTTCTTTAAAACCATAATTTCAGTGATTGATGCAGTTCTGTCTTGCTTACTTAACAGGAGTTTGGAGCTTGCAAGGACAGATGACGTAGTTCAGTGAGTTTTGCATACTCACTTTTCCAGAATATTTGTCTGTTTTAGAGATTTCTTTAATAAACTACAGTGTCTAATGAATCTGGTTCGTGAGATAGGCCGATCTAGCCCCAGGGTATACTGTACATAGCTTGCTGCTCCCAAGTGGGATCTTTATTTGAGCTAGCGATACAACAATTGGTTTCCAAATGCTGTTGTTGTACCACTAGCTCAAATAAAGACCACACTTGGGAGGAGCAAGCATTAAGCACAAATGTACTTTCTTTCTTTTCATTGCTATGTTATCGTCTAGATCCTAAACCACATGTGGATGTGTATAATTGATCTCCTTTTATATGATGTACTGTACCCTCTCCTGTAATAGCTCATGTTATACTGAGTAATGGTAACAAGATGATTGAGGTTATCAGCAAAGAAAACCCATTTCCCTCTATGAGGAAGGTCTGCTCCCAGTGACTCTACTGTCTAGCGTGCTGTAGCATGGCTGGTGGGAGCAAGCTATAGTCACACAGTCACACTCTGGCAACGAGTAACTTAGTGCAGGTTCTATAGCGTGTCTCCCCTTTCATTTGCTTGCACACGACTTGCATGATATACCAGACCACTTACTAATGAAATATACATGGTGGGAGTATGTCTTTATGTGTCATAAGAATCAAGTTTCATTACATCTTTTAAACATTTAAATTAACACAATAATCATCACCCTATTGCATGTTGACTCATCTCTGTTATTGCCACTAGAAGTGACTCTTTAGATAAGCACGGCTACTGAATGAAAGGTCAACATCAACCACAATCATAAACACTGCAATTGTGCCATCCAGTCACGTCCAGTTCTTGTGTACCTTTCTCCTGCGCTCAGAGTGTGTGTGTGTGTGTGTCAGAGTGTGTGTGTGTGTGTGTGTGTGTGTGCGTGCGTGTGTGTGTCTGTGTACTGAAAACACATACCCCTCCACCTCCACCCCCACCCCCTTGAGAGGCAACGCAGTCTCATTACACACAAAGGGCAAAACGGGCATCATAACGAAGCTGACAGAAGAGAAATCTCTGAGCCCACACCACCGCACTGCAGAGTCCAAAACAGCAGTTAAGACCTTGATGGTATCTATGCCACGGCACATATCTAGCTGTGTAATTCAGCCCTGGATTATTCGTGCATTGACAAACACAAAAAGAGGATAGCCTTCTGTCTCATCTCCCACCCACACCTCACAATTTGACACACATTTTGTGAACAACAAACATGCGTCAGCACACAGAAACTGTGTCCTAAAATTGGATCACAGGATGGCTGAACACGCTAATGATCCTACGAGCATAGTAACCTTCATCCTTCCTACATCAGTGCAAGCCTGCCAAAAAATATAGAACGTGAACCAGGGCAAAATAGGGAAAACATTAACTTGAGCTTAGAGGACTCACATCCACCTCTCTTATCTTTCTGTATCTCTCTATCCCCTTCTAAGAATACAGTAGGGGATGCATACGCCCTCCATCACCAGTTCTGTCCTCCACGGGTCTGGATTGATGGGGTAACTGAGAGGCTTGTCTGCCTGTTAAAGCTGCTCACATGGTGGTATTGCTGTTTTTAGATCTGGAGATGAGCATAGTGTGTGAAGGCATGTTTGGACTCTGAGGTATGTTGTTTACAGGGGCACTGACACATACTGGAATAATAGGCTGTCTGTTTGAAAAACTAGGGTTGCAATTCATACAAATTAGAGGAGTGACCATTGATCAGACTGTACTACTAGAGTAAGTACGCTTTCTAACATTAAGTAGGCCAATATGACTGGTAAAGATTTTAGCATGTGTCCCTTTGAAAAGTGATTATATATATTTTTTCTTTTACCCCCTTTTTGATCTTGTCTCATTGCTGCAACTCCCCAACGGGTTCGGGTGGCGAAGGTCGAGTCATGTGTCCTCCGAAACGTGACCGCCAAACCGTGCTTCTTTTTTCTTTTCTTTTTTGGGGGTAGATCAGCTTTAATATTGCAGATAGATTGTAACTTCCATCAATGTAATTGTCTGCATCACTTCCAATCCCCCATATGTCTTAAAACCCACCCGCACCAATGTGTCAGAGGAAACACCGTTCAACTGACGACCGAGGTTAGCCAGCAGGCGCCCGGCCTGCCACAAGGAGTCGCTAGAGCGCAATGAGCTAAGTAAAGCCCCCCCCCCCCCCCCCCCCCCCCCCCCCCCCCCCCCCAAACCCCCCCCCCCCACCCCCCCCCCCCCCCCCCCACCCCCCCCCCCCCCCCCCCCCCCCCCGGACAAACCCTCCCCTAACCCGGACAACGTTGGCCAATTGTGTGCCGCCCGATCACGGCCGGTTGTGATACAGCCCGGGATCGAACCCAGGTCTGTAGTGACACCTCTAGCACTGCGATGCAGTGCCTTAGACCGCTGCGCCACTCGGGAGGCCCTGAAAAGTGATTTTAAACAATTTATGGTTATGAACCATCAATATTTTAAAATAAATTGTCAAAGGGACACCTGATTGGTTCTGTGTTCATGGCAGATATTTGGACCTATGCTATGTTTGCATGTGTGTTCATGGAGTTAGAAAGAAATCAACAATTGCAGCGCAATTTAGAATGACCTCATCCTCTTTGGCTTTTGATATCCTTGACAGCATGTGCCCAAGTTTTGCTTCAGCACTTTGATAGATTCAAGGCAAGCTGCTGAGGCATGGGGTCAAGTCCCTGTAGTTCAGACGTATGTGACCAGAAACCATTATTATAGCAAGTGCAAGTTCCGCTCTGCATGCATGTATACAGTATTTTCCTATGGGCTGAAATTAAAGATATTGTTATCTGAACAGTCAAAAGCTTAGTGGATTCCGAGAGGTCGATATAAGGGCAGATAAATGAGATCACAACTTGTAAATCATCTATTTTAAAAATTCATTTTGTTGAGCATGAATCAAGATACTGTGTTTTTATTTGGGTCCAATTACTTGGTTCTTTACTTTGTAACTCCCATTTATTGGAACCGCATAGAAGAGATATAGTGATGTATAATGTTGTGTTTGTTATCTGCAGTTCTGCAAAGAGATGATGCATGATAGTGTAGCAGCACACAGCACAGTACTGAGAGGAGCCATTCTGTTTGGGATGGTATCATCCCATTATCACTGGCACCGGATGACTGTAGTAGCTGGCAGTTCACTCATGAATAAATATTGATTGATCTGACTGTACAGGAAACACAAGAGCCATGTGTAAATATTTGGCTCAGTAGTGCCAACATCTGCACATGCACAGTGATGAACAGACACAGAACCAGAGAACCAGGCGTATGGAGTGAAAAAACAGTAGTGTACTTTCTGGCTATTTCGAACCTTTCGTTAATCAAACTCAAAAGACAAACAGTCCTTAAAAGCCTTTTTATGTTTTAGAGTGAAAAACAAGGTCCCCGTCCGAAACCACAGTCAGGCCTACCATGCTCTGTGGTCCCCGCTCCATCCTCTCTCCCACCCACCCCCACCTCCCCACAGCCTCCCTCACGCTATAGTGTCCCTGTCAGAATTAAATTCCTTCCCAGCTCCACATTATGTACATAGGGAGAGCACAGAATTATACACTTATGCAACACTTAGCATATTAGCCTTCTGATTGAATTATCCTTGGAGGGGTGGCTGGCAGTGTGATTGCCTGCTGAGTTAGAGAATGCCGTAGTAGTGATTTCTTCAACTCCCACTGTACACAATGCATCATGGGAGATGTGGCATATTCAACTGAAGGCACATTGTGATAACGTCATTAGCGTGTCATGCCAGCTTGTTACAGTGGGCCACCGGCCATGTTCCAATTTGATGTCCTTACAAACATCCATCAGCTCTCAACAAAACATGTTCTCCAACAGCACTTTATCAAAGAGAAGCTCATATGCACTATTATATTTTCAAGAAAATACGCACACTTAAATGTGGGTGAATTATATCCTAGTACAGCTAAGGATATTAGATGTAATGTAATTGATTACTGTATTTGTGGTAGATACATATGAGCGACATAAAAGCAGTGTCCTTAGCTTACACTATACCACTCCACTGTCAGTGCAGAGGGCTTTATATCTAAAGCTTGAGTGGTCACTTTCCCTAGAAGCCAGAGAAATTCATGCTCCTTCATTAGCATAGGAATGGGGATGGGGTTATAGTGGGTAGACTGTAGCATAGTGGGTAGACTCTTAGTGTGTTTTCCTCCCTCTAATGCTCTGAAAGCCTGTGGGCTCTGGCGAGGCTCGTCAGTAAAAGGGCACAGAGAATGAATAAGCCTTAATTGACCAGATATCCTTCATTACACACAGGCTTACAAACCCAATGCACTCTGTCCCCAAAAGACAAGTTCTAAGGCACAAAGGCCAGTGACAGACAGAAAGCCAGTCTGGAAGAAGGACATATCACATAGAGAATGTTTTTTAGACAGATAGATTTGAGTTTATTCAGTTGTATTTTGATATCTGATGGAAAAGTACTGTATCTGATGATGACTTAGTCACTTCGGCGTACACATTGATGGATAATAAACTGTTCATAGATTAAAGGAGCTGTAAGTGACTTTATCAATGTTATTAACAGTACAGTAGATGTTAAGTGTACTGCTGATTTTGAAAAATGGTATATATATCTCTTGTCTATCCAGGGCCATCTTGAATTTGGCAAGCTGTCACTCTTCTGGACCTGACGATGTTTCGTAAGAAGAAAAAGAAGAGGCCAGAGATCTCAGCACCAAAGAACTTTGAGCACCGGGTGCACACCTCTTTTGACGTGAAGCGGGGCTGCTTCGTGGGCCTGCCGACCCAATGGCACAGTTTGATAGAGAACCTCCGCAGGCCCAAGCCTATGGTGGACCCCTCCCGGATCACCCCAGTGGAGCTCAATCCAAAGAAGGTACTGGGCCTTATTCTCAGCCCAACTGGATGTGTGCACTGGGGGTCTTTTTCTCTGGATGTATTTTCCAACAGATTAAAAGAGTTGAGAATTGATAGGATTTTATTTCTGAGAATATTCCAGTTTTAGTGAGCCTCAAAGCCCTCCATCAAAAGCGTTTTTTAGCAGAGGATTTCTTACCACAGTACAGAGTCCTTTAGAGCTGCAGCACAGCAGTGTTCTGCCTGTCATATTGCTTTCTTATCTATCACGAGGCTCAGCTAATGACCCTGTTGTGTACACTGACTGTACAATGTGAATCCTTGGAGGGCTCCAATATTTATTACTCAATGCAGGCAATTGATAACGATCCATGGTGCCTTCCCACAGATGTCAGGCTGAGGGATAGAGAGTCCAGGTACAGCAGTGGAAATGCCAGTGAGCGATAAAGCCTGCAAATCTAAGGATTTCTGCACTAGGCTGAATGCTCATGCCGATATGCCCCTTGGAAAAACATAACACATTTTCATTACCACCAGTGGATAAGTTTGAGCTTTGCGTTTCAGAATCTCCTTGTCAGCTTCTGAAGCAGAGTCATGGTTTTAATGGGATCATCAGGATTGGATTGGTAGTACAGAGGAGACTTGTGTTCTGTAAATAGCCTGTATGGCAGAGGCAAAGGTTGGAGAGGTTACATGAAACATGATTACATTTGATACATTTGAACAATAATGATGCATTCTGTCCTTTGTAAAGGGTATGCAGTGGGATGTGAATTAGTCTTCACGTGCATAGATCTACGCGCATGAGTGCGCTGGGTGGAGTCAGATATTTTAGAGCAATGTGCACCTTTTGGTAACATGATACCTCACCCATCCCAAATAGCAACATTCACCAAGGGGCGACAGAGGTTTTCTTGTTGTCTTCTCATTTCTTGTGAAAGCAAAAGAAGAGTCTGTCTTGTCTTGTCTTCCCTTGCTAGCAAGTTGGTTAAACACTGCAAGCAACTAGCCATTAGTTTCCCACATCTCCATGTGAAATAACCTGATTTATAATTAAATAATATGCCCTGGCAAATATTCTTATACTTGCCAGTGTAACCTACAACATTATTCCAATTTGATATGCTGCTTCAACATATTCACTCCCATATCATCTAAAAAATAAAATGTCATACTTGTGCTGCTTTTACATTTCCAAATAGCCTAGAATAACATTTTCACTTCTAAACTAAATAAATTTTTGGGGGATTCTAATAAGGCTACAATGTTGTTTGGTTTATTGTTTGAACAGTCACTGAGATGATATTTGGTTATCAATGCATTGCAAAATGGGCTGCTTACTTAATGCCAAGCTAAACCGAGACAGCAATCTTTAAGTTTAAGTGATTTTGAAGTTGATTAGCTTCCCAAATCGCCATGTGAAATAATCTGATTTCTAATTAAATAATATGCCCTGCCAAATATTCTTATACTTGCCAGTGTAACCTACAACATTATCCCAATTTGATATGCTACTTCAATGTATTCACTCCCATATCAGCTAAAAATATAACGTCATCATGTTTTGGTCAATGCAAAATAGGTTACTTTGATACATAGCCTATAGATCAGATCAAGGAACCAGGCGAGCTTCAACACTGCCCCCATGGCTACGCAAGGAATGATATAGTGCTTTACAATTTTCATGTGGTGTGGCAGGAGAGTACGTAGAATGTCGGAGCGCACTACAAGGAGCTGCCCCTTTTGTGACTAAAATACGACATTGCAACACTGGGCCACGCTCCGTAGGGTCCGTCTCCGTAGGGTATAAATGGCCCTTAAGCCACCTGTGCAGCTGTGAGAGCAGACTAGAGCACCATACCAAAGACAGAAGCATGGAAGACTCTCGTGACAGTGAACATGACTTTACTTTACCCAGAGATTGAGTAATCAGCCAATGGGCCTATTCTCTGATATGTTAAACTGGAAGGGCCTCCTGCCAACGCATTTTTAAGTCTGTGTCATCTTGTTCTGTCAGGGCAAGTTAATGCTCTTTCTCTACGCCACTGTGATGGGTGCTGCTTGAGATTTTACTTATCAGAAAGAGTCTGTTCGTTTTTACAGTTTTTATACAACCCACATTACGAAAAATAAGTGCCTGCATACAGGCCAAAATACAAAATCACCATCTATGCTACAAATAAATATGCAATATGTAGATACAGTGGGGAAAAAAAGTATTTAGTCAGCCACCAATTGTGCAAGTTCTCCCACTTAAAAAGATGAGAGAGGCCTGTAATTTTCATCATAGGTACACGTCAACTATGACAGACAAAATGAGAAGAAAAAAAATCCTAAAATCACATTGTAGGATTTTTAATGAATTTATTTGCAAATTATGGTGGAAAATAAGTATTTGGTCAATAACAAAAGTTTCTCAATACTTTGTTATATACCCTTTGTTGGCAATGACACAGGTCAAACGTTTTCTGTAAGTCTTCACAAGGTTTTCACACACTGTTGCTGGTATTTTGGCCCATTCCTCCATGCAGATCTCCTCTAGAGCAGTGATGTTTTGGGGCTGTCGCTGGGCAACATGGACTTTCAACTCCCTCCAAAGATTTTCTATGGGGTTGAGATCTGGAGACTAGCTAGGCCACTCCAGGACCTTGAAATGCTTCTTACGAAGCCACTCCTTCGTTGCCCGGGCGGTGTGTTTGGGATCATTGTCATGCTGAAAGACCCAGCCACGTTTCATCTTCAATGCCCTTGCTGATGGAAGGAGGTTTTCACTCAAAATCTCACGATACATGGCCCCATTCATTCTTTCCTTTACACGGATCAGTCGTCCTGGTCCCTTTGCAGAAAAACAGCCCCAAAGCATGATGTTTCCACCCCCATGCTTCACAGTAGGTATGGTGTTCTTTGGATGCAACTCAGCATTCTTTGTCCTCCAAACACGACGAGTTGAGTTTTTACCAAAAAGTTCTATTTTGGTTTCATCTGACCATATGACATTCTCCCAATCCTCTTCTGGATCATCCAAATGCACTCTAGCAAACTTCAGACGGGCCTGGACATGTACTGGCTTAAGCAGGGGGACACGTCTGGCACTGCAGGATTTGAGTCCCTGGCGGCGTAGTGTGTTACTGATGGTAGGCTTTGTTACTTTGGTCCCAGCTCTTGCAGGTCATTCACTAGGTCCCCCCGTGTGGTTCTGGGATTTTTGCTCACCGTTCTTGTGATCATTTTGACCCCACGGGGTGAGATCTTGCGTGGAGCCCCAGATCGAGGGAGATTATCAGTGGTCTTGTATGTCTTCCATTTCCTAATAATTGCTCCCACAGTTGATTTCTTCAAACCAATCTGCTTACCTATTGCAGATTCAGTCTTCCCAGCCTGGTGCAGGTTTACAATTTTGTTTCTGGTGTCCTTTGACAGCTCTTTGGTCTTGGCCATAGTGGAGTTTGGAGTGTGACTGTTTGAGGTTGTGGACAGGTGTCTTTTATACTGATAACAAGTTCAAACAGGTGCCATTAATACAGGTAACGAGTGGAGGACAGAGGAGCCTCTTAAAGAAGAAGTTACAGGTCTGTGAGAGCCAGAAATCTTGCTTGTTTGCAGGTGACAAAATACTTATTTTCCACCATAATTTGCAAATAAATTCATTAAAAATCCTACAATGTGAGTTTCTGGAAAACATTTTCTCAATTTGTCTGTCATAGTTGACGTGTACCTATGATGAAAATTACAGGCCTCTCTCATCTTTTTAAGTGGGAGAACTTGCACAATTGGTGGCTGACTAAATACTTTTTTTCCCCACTGTATGTCCTTCCAACATATTGACAGCAAAACCAACTGGGAAAACGAGTCAAGTCTGGATTTTTGAAGAATGCCAAAACTTCCCTTTCAGACTCAGAGTTCTAAAAATAACTTTTCTTCAAGCGACGGTTGTGTCACCCTCTTTATTCCACACTCAAATGCACAGGCCTCTCAGTATGTTATGATCATTCCAGTCAATGTGGTTGGTTGATCATAACTGCTCTCCTTTCAGACCATCGTGCGTGGGAGTATGATCGGCCATGGAGACTACATCTCAGCCATGATCTCTGACATGAGCAGGCTGTCCGTGACCAGCTCCAACTCCCTAAGGAAGAGCAGCCCTTCAGCCAGGAAGAGGGCCCAGTCCCTTGGCAGGCTGGGGGAGGTGAAGGAGGGGGACACCTACCAGTATGAAGACCTGGGAGAGGATGACCTGGAGCAGCAGCAGTGGAGGGACAGGGCTCATAACATCCACAGTGAGAGTGCGATGCCCCACATGGGCATGAAGAAGAGCATCACCCTGCAGCCCAACGGGGATCTTCCCAGGGCCAAGTCCACCTACGAGGTGAGTGTCAGCTCTCTGGAGGGACCCCCGGCTCCGTCCCAGCCCATGCAGGTGCCTATTAAGGGGGCTTATATCAGCTGTGAGGTGGGCAGTCCCACAGAGAGACTGATGGTGAGGAGAGACTTCCAGGTGCCGAGGGTTATGCCACACAACCAGAGGCCCATCTCATGCTTCTACAACCCAGCCATGGCTGTCCAGCAGCCCCATCCTGACCATGGGCGTCACCCCCCTCCGGAGTACTGCACCAACCTCTACATCCACTCCCACAACTGCCCTGGCAGACCATACTCCTCCTACGACCTGAAGGTAAGCATGTCACTACATCATTATCTCTCATCTATATTGACATTGTCATAGGTCAGCTGATGTAATCAACTATGATACATTATTCACAGACATACGTCAACCAATTTCACATTGGCCAGTAGTTAACTGTGGTACACAGGAGGTTGGTGGCACCTTAATTGGGGAGAACGGGCTCGTGGTAATGGCTGGAGCGGAACTGTGGAACTGTATCAAATACATCAAACACATGGTTTCCATGTGTTTGATGCCATTCCATTTGCTCCGTTCCGGCCATTATTATGAGCTGTCCTCCCCTCAGCAGCCTCCTGTGTTGTGGTATATACAGTAATTAACACCTTTACTCTTTGAAAACCCTGTTCATAATTTGGACAGTGAGCTACTTCATAGACAGTTTTTTAGGTAAAACATTTCTAGAAAACATTTATAGAAATGTTTAAGTAAAACACTTATAGAGCCCATAACTCCTCTCCATCTTACAGCAGACTGCATCCCTGCATTCTACAGTCGATTGCTCAATTAAGTGCTAAAATGTGATTTGTGACTTTATTGCTTGAATGTGCTTGTAAACGTTGAGAGATGCTATGTTTAGCAAGATCTCAAGGGTACATTGAGGTACCTACAGGTGTAGGATCTTAAGTTGACCTATATTATCACAGCGAAATAATCCTGCAGCAACAGGATTTGAACGTTAAGTCCATAATGTTGCTTGATCGGTGGTTAGGCTATTAGCTGGCCAAAGGTAGGCTTCATAGAAAGAGCACAAATTCTCAGCAACAAAAGAGTGATCAAGTTAAGATCCTATATCTGTATGGCAAACGTTTTAGCAGGGGGCGTACCAGGTGAAGTGAATGCATAGTGTGAGAGTAAAGCACTGTGATTTACATCCAGTAATAAAGCAGGCCAGGGACCTTGGGAAGACAGCCAACTCTCTCTCTCTCTCTCATCATCCAGGCAGAGTCGGCTCTGAGGCACCACCAGTCAGGCTTCCTACCCAGTACCCCTAGCAGTCCCTTCATGAGTGGCATCAGACCCCACAGGACAGTGCGCTCCTCAGCCAGCTACACCCTGGGACTGTCTCCCAACATGGGCCTGAGACTTAATGGCCCTGACCCCTTTTTGAGACACTCAGGCTGCCCTAATGCTCCCTTCCCCAGGCAGGACAGCCCCTCCCAGCCCCGGCCCTCCCCCACCGGCTCCCTGGACACCAGCCCCCCAGGCACATGCTCCCCTGCTTTCAGACCCCCTCAGCACCCCCAGAGGCCGCCACCAGACCCCCCCAAGGTGACCCATGAACAGTTTAAGGGTGCCCTGCAGATGGTGGTAGACAAGGGGGACCCTCGGTCGTACCTGGAGAACTTCGTGAAGATTGGAGAAGGTTCGACGGGGGTGGTGTGTATCGCTCGGGAGAAACACAGCGGCAGGCAGGTGGCTGTGAAGATGATGGACCTGCGGAGACAACAGCGAAGAGAGCTGCTTTTCAACGAGGTATGACAACCTCCAGCCAACACCATCCTCAATGACCCCCATAACCCTCACAACAAAACCCCAAATCAGCAATAAATCACGTTGGGATACATCATATACATATATCCTATCTTAATTCGATCACTCTGTTGTCGCAGAGAATTTCCCTGTGCAGCAGGAAATGCACATTGTAGTTTATTCAAGGTTTTAAAACGTTTCTAAAGTTTCTAATTTACACTTTAAAATGTCAGACTTGATTTATCCTTACAAAAATGTATCACCCCTACAAAAATGTCCATTAATTATAATCCACATAATAATTCACATTTCCTGTTGCTGCAGGATAATTTTCCTGCTGTGAGAAACTGGTAAAATTAAGATACTATATCTGTAACAGAGCCCATGTGTTATCAATTGAAACTGCGGGGGCACATGCCCCCTTAGATCCAGCTAGTCCTTATTTTGCCCATCAGTTACTTATTGTCCCTGACAATAATACCCAAAGACCCTATTTTGCCCATCAGTGCCCTCTCGAAATCATCAGGTACATTACATGACTGTTATCAACTGTATGTGTTTGTCCAGGTGGTGATCATGAGGGACTACCAGCACAGGAACGTGGTGGAGATGTTTAAGAGTGCCCTGGTGGAGGAGGAGCTCTGGGTCATCATGGAGTACATAGAGGGTGGAGCACTAACCAACATCGTGTCTGAGACCAGGTATGGAGACACAGCACAGACCTGACCTACTCACTGCTGCTGGAGCAAAACACTGTGTCCTCCTATGGGAAACTATAATCTGATAACTTAATTAGATTTGTGCATGTTGAAATGACGTGGTGAATTTAATTTGGTCCAAAAACACGATTCAATCTATGCTCCCATGCTGTTAAATATATCAGAAACTGTATGCATAAACAAATTGTCAGTGCATATTAACTCTACCTGTCAATGTATTTTAAATTCCAAACTGAAAGTTGTCTCATTCACACTACAAAACCAGGTATCTAGAGACAGGGACAGAGTGCATTTCTGACTAGCCAGCTGACATGTTGAAATGGTCCAGATGGAGTTTGTAATTTTCATTGGTTGTCAGAACCCAAGGTTAGTATTTGTATTGATTGAACTGTCTGGAATAAGACCCCTTTGCTAAAATATACCTCCTTCATACTACAATCCAATCTAAAATAAGTTTTGAAAACAATGAATATCTTTTTTTCTTTTTTTTACTATCAGCCTTAAAGGGACAATCTGCGATTGTTACTTCAATTTTCTGACTTTTAAATGGATTATATATACGCATTGATTCTTTAAGAATATTACTTAGAAAGGCATAATGAGCCTGGTTCAACTGTCGTACCCCATCAGAACCCAAAATATAAGTATGTTTTACTCCATTGTTTGTAAAAATATATATTTCTAAACAAACATTGTATAGCCTCAAAACATAGTTAAAACCATAATTGTATATATCATGGATGGTCAGTCCTTGCATGCATAGCTCTGTCTATTAATTTGAGAGCTCCAGCCCCATCCCACAGCTATTTACCAAAACAATGGTGGGGAGCCTGCTTTGTTATTTGAATTGCAGGTGTGTTTCAGTTCTTCAGTGTTCAAAATCTACTAGGCTATATTTTCAAAATGCATACACGTGATACTGTGAATGCATGAAGCCATCTGAACCTCACCTATACCACCATTAATGTATAGCATCACCTGGGTGATGCAACAACAGCCATTTTGCAGTGCAGTTTTGAGTGTTGTGTGTATCTGTGTCACTCCCCCATGTAGGCTGAGCGAGGAGCAGATAGCCACAGTGTGTGAGGCTGTGCTGCAAGCCCTAGCCTACCTTCACTCCCAGGGAGTCATCCACAGGGACATCAAGAGTGACTCCATACTGCTAACACTGGATGGGAGGGTAAGTCTCTCTCGCATAAGTATTTTTAATTCAGTTGAGAGAGAACACACCTGTTTATGTATTCATAACTGTTGATAATTGAATTGTAACGTTTCTGTCCTGTACAGATCAAGCTGTCAGACTTTGGGTTCTGTGCCCAGATCAGTAAGGACATTCCCAAGAGGAAGTCTTTAGTAGGAACACCATACTGGATGGCTCCGGAGGTAATCTCTAAATCTCCATACAGCACTGAGGTGAGATATTCAAAACTACTCTGTATCCTTACTAACTGTACTGGTATATTACTGCATACTAATGGCATTCTAATTGTATCCAAACAAATACTCATGATGTCCAGTATTCATGTGCATGTCAACACTGTCTGATAGTGATGTTGATATACAGTATACTGGTTTGTTGTGTCTGCCAGGTGGATGTGTGGTCTCTGGGCATCATGGTAGTTGAGATGGTGGATGGAGAGCCCCCCTACTTCAGTGAGACCCCCGTTGCAGCCATGAGAAGACTGAGGGATGAGCCAGCTCCCACCGTACGGAACGCAACCCAGGTCAGAGAACAAACAGAACACATACCGTACATAGAGAGATACTCTCTTACACACGCACAGAAACACAGAGAAACACATTCACACCTTTTCTCTATTTCAACATGTCTGATGAATTAGCTTGGACTTTACACTTTGTGTAGGTATCCCCGGTGTTGAAAGACTTCCTGAACCGTATGTTGACCCGGGACCCAGTGGAGCGGACCAGCGCAACAGACCTGCTAGAACACCCCTTCCTCCTGCAGAGCGGCTCCCCGCAGTGCCTGGTGCCCCTGGTGGAGCAGTACCGCAAGCGCATGTCCCGCTGCTGATCCCATGGTGGACCCTGATTCCTGATTACTACTGTACCCACCCTGAGTGTGATCTGCCCAGGCCCAACCCACCCAGCACCCAGCTCAGTGGGGGAGCAGATCCAGACCCAGAGAGCCTGGTGCTGCTACAGAGCTCATGGCAGCAGGCCTGTAGGCTTGGTAGACAGTGGCTCAGCATGGGCGTAGAAACCTACTGTAAGAAGCACTTTAGCAGTGAGTTGGCGTAGTGAAACGGCAGCATGCAAACAAACAGTACTCCTCACTCATCTCAACAACGTCTGGGTATACCTGGGATAGACAACATCCAATGGGATTCCTCCCGACACAACACCAATCTAGCATTGGTGCATTATATACACACTTGAAATCCAAGGGAACTGTAAACTGCATTGTGAACTTTTACTGTAATCGAGCAGCTTCCCATCGTAGTGTTTGGATACTGGTGAATTTTCAGCTTGTGCTATAGACTCAAGTTATGGTAGCTCATGACTTGGAGAGAAGCGTGATGTTACATACCTCTACAACCATATGGGGCACTGACTGAAGTAAAGCACCTTGTCAGTAAACAATTTGCATGGCCAAATGAAGGCAGACTTGGCCTGATCGGAATGTTTAAAACATGCTACTAAGAGATGACATGAGAGACCTGCCTCTAGCATCATCATGACAAATGTGTAGATGAGGGGATGGCTGTTTGTTTTTATTGTGCTCAAGGAATCATGTTCCTTTTAATATTTATTATATTTTGCTTTTTCTGAAAAGTGTTGTGAACGGTTTGTAATGTGAACTTGCAAATAAGTTTTCATTTTAGATGATCAACTTGAAATGTAGCAGATGAACAAATAATGTAAATACATCCTGTATATTAGGACTTACTTGCAGAGCCACTGTACTTATATGGTATGAATTTAACTTCATTTTGAAAGTGTGTGTGTTTACGCCTGGATACTGTTTTAGTGTTTGCCTCAACCATCCCTTCCACTGTGTTGTGAGCGACCTTTTAAACTACAGGATGTGTGTGTTGCTACAGAAAATGTATGTGTGACAGTATTTGCATTGGTTTGCATAGATAAAGCACACAGGCTTGGCATGTGATGCTGAAGAACGTCCACCAGCTGAGAACACCTTGCACATTGTCTTTGTATTCTTACCAGTGATACAACATATTTAATGTATTTGTATTTCTATGTAGGACATTTGTGACATTTTGTAAAAAAATTAAAATAATAATGCATATTGACTCTTGATCTTGATCAACTAATAACTGCTATTTATCAACTAATCACTGCTAATTTGTTCCAATTCAGTTTGCTGTTTAATGTCTCCTTTCACACAGGTGCATCTTTTTCTTTCTATGTCTCTCTCTCTCTCTCTCTCTCTCTCTCTCTCTCTCTCTACTCTCTCTCTCTCTCTCTCTCACATACAAACATTATATCAAATGCAGAAATTAGAATTCTGTCACATTTGGAACTATTTGTATAAATGTATTACAATTCATTTAGCATAGCCTGTGCATATTAACAACATGATTCATTATAAATAATTATACATTATAAATAGAATACACACTACATATTTCAATAATAGTGTAATATATTATTATTTTGTCAAATAAAAGTGACACTGCCATTATTACGATTTGTGCATATAGCAGATGATTTGAATCTACAGACAAAGCATTGGGATACATTCATTAGTTACCATACTGCTTGAACATGTAGAATCTAAAGTGCTTTATCAAATCGACTCCCTCTAATTTTCCAAATTGAGAACAGTCGGTTTTCCTTTAACTCGAGGGAGACACCATGGTAACTGCTCTCAAATTCACACTTCACCCTGCTGATGCTGTCCCCGTTTGGCTGACTGTTAACTTTCTGGTGTTTTGAGAAAAGGGGAACGTTTTATCCCAGGACATCCTCCCTCTACCGTGTGAGGAACGGGAAGAACAGTTAATTACAGTCTCATGAATTTAGGGGCGGTGAATCAGTGCAGTAATCTGGTCCCCAGCCTGGTGAATCCTGGGGGATGGACAGGACTCTTCTATGGCTCTATCTCTGCTCTGTGGAAGAGGAGTTTGTTTAGTCGCCCATTCGGCGGGAGGCTGCCATGCTTCTGACTCCCTCTCCTGCTTGATTGTGCGAAGTCATTATTTCCATCTTTTGGCGCCCTGGTGGAATCCTTGGGCGCTCTCTGAGATTGACCTTTGCCATTTAAAAGTGCTTATGGCGTGGAGACAGTTTCTTCAGCGCCGTTGTCATCTCACATGTGCTCTCTTGTCATTGGCTATTAGTGCTCTTTCGTCCTGCAGCAAGGCTCTCTTTAATGTCCTGGCTGATAGGCACATCACCATGATAGGACTGCTTTCTGCTGCTCAGGAGGTCCAGGTTAAATGACTTTGCTTTGCCCCAGACTGGAATACTATCTGGCACCTCCTGTTTCATTCCTCTCTTTCTGCTGACTTGGCTCTGGGTGATGGCTCAGTGTTTTACCCCCCTCATGCCCCTTAGCTTACAGTTATTTATCTGTTTGGCTGTGAAGATGTCATCCTGTTCTTCTTCAGACTGGGTCCACTCTAGGTGCCTTTTCTCTCTGGGGACTGATTCTGGCATTTGATGGGTGCCCACAGCCCGATGCTGTCCCTGACCCTCAACTGTCTCTGGAATTCCCAAGGCAGAGGGTTTAGAGAGCTTGTTGGGCTGTCGCCGCTCTGACCCTGCCTCCTTCCCGACCTCCCCTATTGGGTCATCTGACACCACCCCCCTCTTCCCAGAGTTCAGGGTCTGGACACTTGTCGTGCCCAAAGAAGTTGGCCACCTGGATGGAAGAGTGCCCAGCCTGGTTGGTGCAGTCCAGCCTCAGACCCATTCTTTTGAAAGCCCTTAACAGGAAATCCAGCTCCTGGCTGTGGCCGGTGTACATCAGGGCGCTGTTCCCCCAGGCGTCAGACACATTGCATTAGTTTTTCCATGCCAAACCCACCAAGACCTATCGCCTTTGTTAGCAGAGCGCTCAAACCCACTGAGAGGAACATGGAGAACTACATCTCCATGAAGGTTGAGTTCCTGGCCCATAAGTGGGCTGTTACAGAAAAGTTCAGAGAGTACTTGCTATGGGCCCTCTTCAAAGTATTTACTGACGCGCTGTCCCGCTAGTATGTGAAGCCAGGTGAACTAGAGGAGGTGGTGACGAGTGGAGAGGATGAGCCAGTGAGAAAGTTGTCAGGTGTTGACCCAATAATCCAAGCAGCTCTCTGACTGTCTTGGTAAGGATTCATAGAAGTATCCTAATGGAATTGTGGATGAGATTGCCTCTCCAAAGTGCTGCCTCAGGATATTGTATATGGCTTCAGGGTCTCTGCTTATGTTAACGAGGGGGTTTTCACTGAGCCCAATTCTGACTATGTCTTTAGCCCGCCCCATCAGTCTGTCCTGTATCTCTTGCCCCTGTTCTGATATACTGCATCCCTTCTTTTTCAAGTAAGCTTGAATCATTTCTTGCCATTCAGTCACTGTGCTATCACCGCTGAAGTGGGGTGGTTCTCTGGCGTCTGACTTCAGAATTAGGTTGACCTTTGACCAATCAGGTATTTGTGCTATGGGTTGGGGACTGTTTGGAGCAGCCCCTGCTAGACTAGCGGCAACTTGATTTCCTATTTCACTGCCCAGTTGTTTGACTAACTCTGCTAGGGCTTGCAACTGGATTCGGTTTTCATTTTCACCCCTTATGGATTCTGAGACTCTTCACTTTTATCATTGCCTGGTTGGCTACTGTTATCATGTTCTGGTTGGCTACTGCTAACACTTGGCCCTCTAGTATCGACTACTGGGTATCTAACAGGTCTATCTAGCACTATGTTCCACCATACTGGCCAACTGAGCCCCCCGCCCCATCCCAGTGGTAATACCTTGTGCACCTCTCATAGTAACACCAACCAGAATAACATGTACATTGTTATCACCAACACCTGATACGTCTTCTCTCTCCTGTTCTGTAATCTCATACAACTGAGGTGTACGCAACATATTGTACAAAGTTCACCTTGGGATGCTTTATTAACTTAACATTGTGGACTTCTACCCCGGAGTAATCTGCGACACATACCTTTCTCTCTCAGTGTTTTCTTGTACTGAGGAGAACGGGAGCTATGGGTAGTACCAGGGTGTTAGTAGGTGACGTAAGCACCCAGATGAAACAAAATACATTTAATGAAATAAAAACCGAATATGTTAATATCATCCAGCTACTGTGGCTGCCTCCTTAACATCAACAGGCAGTACTAGTAGCGCAACAAATAAAAATATAAACCAAAAGTAATGTTCCTGGCGATCATAGTGATCTGATTCCCCCTTCTGTCTGAATTTTGAAAATTTTTGTTTGCTGGTTTGGGCCACTGGATGTTCTGTTTTGCATTGTGTACTATTCTGGCAATAGATTGTCGGCGAGGCAGTTTGGTGAGCCGCGCTTGGGTTCATCTTAATTTGAGTCCATTCCTATGCAACCAATACTAAACACCCACTGAATGGCAACTCAAAATCAGGAAGGTGTTCTTAATGTTTTGTACCCTCAGTTTGCTGTGAACAGCACAACTGCAATCGGCCTGTGTAGACCAGTGGACAGGAGTGTTCACGGCCGGCGGGGCAAGACCATGAAAGACGCGCCGGTGTTGTATGGCATTCCAACATTCTAATAGAATGAATAGAGAGGAGACAGCGAAAGTGAGAGGAGAGGAAACACCACCTGACATTAAGAGGAAAGAGTAGGCCCGTGGGCTACACAGCTTAAACCAAACATAAAGCCTAGACTGCAAATGTGCAGTAGATCAATGGTAAACTCTTAGAAAAAAAGGTGCTATATAGAACCTAAAATGGTTATTCGGCTGTCCCCATAGATAAACCCTTTGAATAACTATTTTTGGTCCCAGATAGAACCCTTTTGGTTCCAAGATTTACACCCATTGGTTTAGAGAGATGAAGGTGATAATTGCAAGATTGAGCCCATAGGTTGAACAGCAAGCATGAGGAATGTGCATTATTGTGTGATGCTTATAGGCTATAAGGTAAAGAGGTGAATGACGTTCCGCACGTGGCTAATAGGAAACAAGAGAAGAAGTAAAACGCTATGCTGATGATGATATGTTTGTATTCATTCCCACTATGCCCGTATAACAGGAAACAAAGTGAATTATGTTACCAGCCTTCCTGATCGAACTTAAGTAAACTACATTTGTGTGTCATGTTTTAAGTATCACGTGACCCTATTGTCAATATTCATATCCATTTATTTATTTATTTCCTTTATCATTTCAGCATAATGTGCCATAATGTGCCTAGGAAGCCTGCTCGGGTAAACAGGATACACACTGAGTTTACAAAACATTAGGAACTCCTCTTTCCATAGACTGACCATGTGAATCCAGGTGAAAGCTATGATCCCCTTCAATCAGTGTAGATGAAAGGGAGGAGACAGGTTAAAGAATGATTTTTAAGCCTTGAGACAATTGAGACATGGTTCTCAGAGGGTGAATGGGCAAGACATAAGATTTAAGTGCCTTTGAACGGGGTATGGTAATGGGTGCCAGGCGCACCGGTTTGAGTGTGTCAACAACTGAAACGCTGATGGGTTTTTCATGGTCAACAGTTTCCCGTGTGTATTAAGAATGGTCCCAAAGGACCCAATGGACATCCAGCCAACATGACACAACTGTGGGAAGTATTGGAGTTGACATTGGCCAGCATCCCTGAGGAACGTTTCGACACCTTGTAGTCCATGCCCCGGCGAATTGAGGCTTTTCTAAGGGCAAAATGGGGTGCAACTCATTAGGAAGGAGTTCCTAATGTTTTGTACACTCAGTGTTTAGTACACTAATAAACCAACCTTATTAGAAATACTTTTCTATATGTTATGATTATGCTACCATAATCATTCAATTAACTCAGGTGATCTTAAATTCACTGATGTGAAAGATAATAACACTTTTGGAGACTATAGTGTTTTTTTAGAAGAAAATGTATCTGGCTGCGGTCGGATTCGAACTGGGGACCTTCGGGTCCACTCTTCCCCTTCCTCAAACACAGGAAAAAATATAGTAATTATTTTTCAGCTTATCATAATAAATAATGAATAATAAACGTATATACTGTAAAAAGTAATTACTTCTGCTAACTACATTTTTCTGTGGAAACCCGCTGCCTAGAACCATTCCAGTCACCCAACTCAAAGTATGTCAGTGTTTAATACTTAAAGTAATAACAACACCACCCATATGTTTTTTTTTTTTTAGTTCAAATACTTCACTGTTTTGTTTTTTATGAACTTTTTGACACTAAATTGCATTATGTATTCTGAACTAAAAAGATTGAAGTCGCTTGAAGATTAACATTTGTTGTAATGAACATATAAACATTTGGTGTCCCTTCTACTTAACTTATTAACCTTCATTACTAATTTTTGTCAAGTGTAAGTAGTTCTGATTAGTAATTTTCAATGGCTGTGTCTAAATGTTTAACATTGTTTTATGTATTTGCCGATGTTTTATTTGAACCCAACTTAGCGGGCATTGTTGAGCACAGTGCTCATTTCAGTAAGAATTACAGGATGATGCATTAACCTGTCATTAAGACTGGTGCACATGACTTTGTTGTTGGTTGGAATGGCTTGTCTCATTATTGAATGTCAATTTGCTTGACGGTTTTGATATCCGTTCATCATGATCAATTACACCTCATAGCACAGCAAACTGCTTAATACTATTTTAGAAATATACTTTCTTCAAACATGCATACAACATTGTGTAAAAGTATCATGAAGTCTAAACATTTGGAATTACCCACAATACTCTAAAAACTGAGCCACGTGGCACTATTAACTTGCAAAAACATAATAATTCTATATCAGCACAACACAGATAAATCAAGTGTTTTTTACTTAGATATCAATGTGTCTGACTACTACTTTATTATTTAAAGTCAAGATGTAAAACAATAGAATCAAGTAAAAACAACTTATTTAATAAATGTTAGATTGACTTGAAAATATAAAATAATCATAACTTGTAAAAACTCAATAACTTTAGATCAGCAGAACACAGATAAATAAAGTTATATTTACTCGATAACCTAATATGTTTTGTTAACAGTACTCAAAAACAAGTGTTAAGAACATCTGATTGACATCTGAGTGAGTACCTTGATTTGAGTTCTACAGGCAGTTGGAGATGTTTGAGTAACCACTACTCAATTGCTTTAATGAGTTAGGCACAAGTACTTTTTAAAGTGTATTATATTATGAAGAAGAACCCTACATTTTCCCCTTTTCCTAATGTTCTCTCTTTTTCATCATTTTCCCCTCCCTTTTCTTCTCCCCCTTACCATTCTTTCTTCCGTCTCCCCCTTCCTTAACATACTATTTTTCCCCAGCTTTGGCGCAAGTCAAGCACTGTTAACAGCCAACAGCTTGAAAATGAAGAGCTACTTCTTTCTTCAGCCTTGCTAACAAACACACTGCTATTGCCTACTAATCATATTGCATAGGCGTATACACCTAAATGTAGGCCTACTTATATGCATTTTTATAATAATCTGCTTTGTCACATATGCGCGTTATTTGACTCGAAAACGATGAGCATTACAACGTGTCCAGTAGGTCGTTTGCACTCTCGTTATCATCCTACAGATGGCAGTATTGCAGTTCTTTTAAAGACGTCTGCAGGACTTGAAATCGACAGTCTTATGTAGGCTACATTTATATGCAGGCTAGCCGCTATGCATTATTATATTCATCCACTTCGTTATGCGTTTTGAATCGAGCATAAGGACCGGCAGTGAACAGTTTTCTCCTCAATAAAAAAGCTTGTTACAATCTATGGTTAAAGTGCACTATCAATTGCGAGTCAACAACTGCTTTATGCAGTGTGTGCCACAGAGAACTGATGATGACAATGATAGCCTACATGACAGCTATTTGACAAATGCAGAAGGCTCTTCGTTAAAAAAATAAATAAATTGATAAACCTACATGTTTAAGGACCTGATTTATATTTTTACAATTAAAGCATAACTGTGGGAAGTATGGGGTGCAGAGGGTGCTGCAGCGCCCCCTGAAAAATGTGGACTGATATAGCCGTCTGCAGTGCAGGCAAAACTTTTTTCCATAAACGTTGTCATCAAAGTCTGGCATTCTCTGGATTTATGGTGCTTTCAAGACAAAAAAGACAAAAAAGAAAGTCAAATCATGACGTCAGTGATCTTCAGGTCGGAGCTCTAGAAAGAGGCCCGAGTTCCCGACTTGGAATTCCGACTTGGATGATGTTCAAAACGTATTTACCTAGTCGGAGCTCGTTTTTTCCCGAGTTCCCAGTTGTCTTGAACTCACTGAAGTCTGAGATTTCCCAGTTCCGAGTTTCCAGTTGTTCTGGATTGACAGCATGGCCAATGTATTCAACCTTTTCTGGCCCATGGTGTTGCGTGTGAATGTTTATCCTCGTTTTTTTCAGAGTTCCCAGTTGTCTTGAAAGCACCACTAGTCAAGGATGCATCAGTGCAATATTGGCACACAGCATTCTGTTACAGACCAATGGAACAAGTACATCTTGAATTTGTAGATTTAAAATATCCCTCTAGTGGCCAGGGTTGACCTATTTTAAGAAATGCCATTGGTTGGTGGGTTTAAAGTATAAGTTATTTCACAGGCTGATGGAGAAGTTGTGCCAAGATATATTCCATAGGCTACCACCTTTTGAGGTTAGCATAGGGCTAACGTGTGCCATGTTAGCTGATGGGACCTCAATTCGCTTGAACGTTTGCTACGTTCCGGAACAATTTGTACTGAACGACACGTTTCCGCAAAACGTTTTTGAACGGAGTTTGAGGTACATTTGCTCCCGTTTGGTGGCCTGAAGCAATGAGTGACGTATTTAAACGGCCGTGGCCATGTTTACAGCGTTCCCTGACCCATAATCCATGGCCACATTTACAGTGTTCCCCAACCCCATAATCCAACCCCTCCCCGTTTGTTTCCGTTCAATTTAACGTTCCAGAATGTAAAAACGTACTGAATGCAGCCAAACTACAATTTAGCGTTCTGCCACATGCAATTAAATCGACGCTTTTCATTGGCTGATTTTATTTGTATTTTATATTTAAATGGTTGCCAGGGGTTCCATCTCACGTCACCCCGCTCCTCCGCACACTCCACTGGCTTCCAGTTGAAGCTCACATCTGCTACAAGACCATGGTGCTTGCCTACGGAGCTGTGAGGGGAACGGCACCTCCGTACATTCAGGCTCTGATTAGTCCCTACACCCAAACGAGGGCATTGCGTTCATCCACCTCTGGCCTGCTGGCTCCCCTACCTCTGCGGAAGCATAGTTCCCGCTCAGCCCAGTCAAAACTGTTCGCTGCTCTGGCACCCCAATGGTGGAACAATCTCCCTCACAACGCCAGGACAGCGGAGTCACTCACCACCTTCTGGAGACATTTGAAACCCCACCTCTTTAAGGAATACCTGGGATAGGATAAAGTAATCGTTCAACCCCCCCCCCCCCCCCCCCCCCCTTACCCCAACCCAAACCCCAACCCAAAAACAAACAAAAAAACATTGTGAAGTGGTGATCCCACTGGCTATAAGGTGAATGCACCTATTTGTAAGTCGCTCTGGATAAGAGCGTCTGCTAAATGACGTAAATGTAAATGTAAATGTAAATGTTGAAAAAGTACCCAATTGTCATACTTGAGTAAAAGTATAGATACTTTCATAGAAACTTACTCAATTAAAAGTGAAAGTCAGCCAGTAAAATACTACTTGAGTAAAAGTCTAAAAGTATTTGGTTTTAAATATACTTAAGTATCAAAAGTAAATGTAACTGCTAAAATATACTTAAGTATCAAAAGTAAAAGTATAAATCATTTAAAATTCCTTATATTAAGCATAGCATAGGGCACCTTTTTCATGTTTTTTATGTATTTACGGATAGCCAGGGGCACACTCCAACACTTGCACACTATTTATAAAAGATGCATTTGTGTTTAGTGAGTCCGCCAGCCCAGAGGCAGTAGGGATGACCAAGTGTTCTCTTGATAAGTGCGTGAATTTGACCATTTTCCTGTCCTGCTAAGCATTCCAAATGTAACGAGTACTTTTGGTTGTCAGGTAATGTCACGCCCTGGCTCTGGGGACACTTGTTTGTTGAGCCAGGGTGTGAGTTTCCTTTGTCGATTCTAGTTGTTGTGTTTCTAGGTTGGCCAAAGTGGTTCTCAATCAGAGGCAACTAGTGTCAGCTGTTGCTGGTTGTCTCTGATTGGGAACCATATTTATTCAGTCTGTTTGCCACAGTGGGGTGTGGGATCTTGTTCCGTGGTGGTGTGTTTATTGTAACCAAGGATGTCACGTTATCGTTTTGTTCGTGTATCATTAAATAAATAAATAAATAAATAAATAAATAAATAAATATGTTCACCTTCCACGCTGCGCCTTGGTCCTCCTCTCTTCCCGATGATCGTGACAGGTAAAATGTATGGAGTAAAAAGTACAATATTTTCTTTAGGAATGAAGTGAAGTAAAAGTAAAGTACAGATAACCCCCAAAACTACTTAAGTAGTACTTTAAAGTATTTTTACTTAAGTACTTTACACCACTGATGGTTTCTTATGTTCGCATGTACGGGCCTCAGGTCTCTTAGTTATGCCCAACGTTATTAATGAACAATACATGTTTTTCTTGACCAAATGCGACACATCTAATTTCCTTACAGTCAAAAAACCACACTAATCGCTTTGTCTGCATAGCGTCAACTTTCACCCAGGACAAAGTGCAGAGTTTTATCTCTCGCTTCACATACCCCACTCTGGCTGTAATCCTACACTAATTTCCCAGAAATGATTGCTGGGCGGAGGATCTCGTTCTTGAAGCTGGAAAGTGAAAGTAGAAAAATCATTATAGAACGCTGCTTGTAGTTTGAAGGTAAACATTATCATAGGTTTGTAAACCGTGTAAAGTTTATTATCGTCATTATAACCAATGTGGGCTATACCTCGACCAATCGGATTACGTCCATGTAGGGTGGTCGGCAGAAAAATGTTGAGTACAGATTATTATTATTATAACTGTTATTGAGTAAATGTATTTATTGGTTTCTTTCCATTTTGATAACAGATGAAAATGTAATGAATTGAAGGTGAGGGCATCAATCATCGCTGCATATTTTTTATTGGTTGTCAGGGTATTTAAGATACACAGTCCTTCATTGCCAAGGTAATGGCGTAACAGAACCATCTTCTCTTCGTCTGGCAAGCCTCTTTCTCTGCCCTGTGTAATGTACAATTCAAAATAGTTTATCCAGTCATTCCAAGGATCCTGCGGCTGACCGGGTACCAGCAGAAATATTTGTTGAAGTAAAAATCGAAATGTATAGATTTTAAGGTTGTGTTTAGGGGTGGGGTGGGGTCACGCCAATTTCTTATTTTTATGGGGTTGTCAGAAATTCTGGTGGAAAAAATGTGGTACTGCAGCTGAAAAAGTTTGAATACCACTGACTTAAAGTAATGTATGTGTGTGCAAGAAGACCGATCAGTTGTAGCTTACTTTGTGTTTTCAATATTAAAGTTAGTCATTTGTAATTTAGGGGTGTGCTTTCATTATTCAACTAGGTCATTTGTTATAGATGTGTTGTTTCCAGATTCAATGTGGTCATTAGTTATTCGATGCGTGGTGATTTGCTTTTACAGTGGACGAGTTATGTTTCAAGGTTCTTTATGACCATTTGTTATTAGATGTGTTCCGCATTCAAGATTTGTTGTGGTCATTTTATATTTTAATATTGGCACAAATAATGTTACTTATACAGTACCTTCCTTTAACTCTATAGAGTTCTAACTTGTGCACTTTGCCCAGCCTTTTGAAATGTGTGTGTCATGAGAGAGAGTCAAATGCTGTAACTTTTCTCCCAATGTTTGCAGTTTGCATCAAAGTTCCATACGAAGTTGCACCTACCCTGACTGAGAATTTGAAGCCCAACGTGGTTAATCACAAGGCAAACGAAGATGGCGCCAGAATTAGACTTGTCCCCACCAACCATGTTTCTGCTGGTACCCGGTGAGCCGCAGGAGCCTTGGAATGACTGGATAAACTATTTTGAATTGTACATTATACAGGGCAGACAAAGAGGCTTGCCAGACGAAGAGAAGAGAGTTCTGTTACGCCATTACCTTGGCAATGAGGGACTGCGCATCTTAAACACCCTGACAACCAATGAAACATATGCAGCGATGATTGATGCCCTCACTGTTTACTTCAGTAATGCGCAGAACTGTCAGGAGCCTCAGGAGCCTCAGGACCGTCAGGAGCCTAAGGACTGTCAGGACCGTCAGGAGCCTCAGGACTGTCAGGAGCCTAAGGACTGTCAGGACCGTCAGGAGCCTCAGGACTGTCAGGAGCCTCAGGACCCGGATGATTCACAAAGAATCAAACAGAACAGTGAGTCAAACAGAACTTCCCAAAACGTTCACAATTCTGACCATCAAAATGGGAGCACAATATTCAACATTTGTACTAATAGCAACAATCACCCATAATGTTTTAAGGTCATAAATACTTCAGAAAAAAGTAATAGTTGGCCAGGGATTGGTAAGTACACGACACTTTGGGAATTGAACAAAACAAACATCGATTTAATAACAGAACATAATGTGTTGAATCCAGGTCACAGCACCATGTCTGTATCCATCCAAGTATTAGCCCACTGAGCTAAAGCCCACCAAACTCACAAAGCCAACTCCATGACACTCATAGGTGGTATTCAGTGGTATTCAGTATGACCAGCAATCCTGGAAAATATCCATGATGATGTGTTTTGTGTCATGGATATTTTCCAGCTAGTAGATGTAGGGTTTCTATTAGGATAGCTGTGAGGCTCTAGTGTGCAATGTAATGATATGTTGGGATTATATGAAGGGTGGATTGACGGGCTACTCTTGTGGATTAGGTGAATTACTAGTTGACTTGCTCGCTAACACATACATTAGCTTTGTCAACAAGCAGGTTATCATAAAATAGTAATATTTTATTTTCTATTTAGGAAAAAGGATGTTTGTTACAGGAGCAGCAGCAACAGTGGGAGCAGGTAAGATCATGTATTTAGTCAGCATGAATATTCTATTTGATCCAATAACTCCACTAATCTGATTTGTCTGTATTATCTTTGTTGATGTTTGCTAAAAAAAAAAAAAAAAACACTTTGTGGTCAAAATCCATTGTAAACATACTTTTGATAAGTTCAAACAAAGTAAATGGAACAATAATTGCCAGAATAAGAAACACAATATAAATAGAACAATAATTGTCAGTATAAGAAAAGCAATCTCTAGTCTTTGCTTATTATTGGTTAAGCCCTTTCTAGCTGTTACCTTCAAATAATTTCACAGATGTGTTAGTACTTTCTTTTGTCATTTAGGCCTAAGTCATTCAAATTATAGTGATACCATTGTCAAACCCCCTATAACAGGGAGCCATTTATGTTTTTGGTTGCTTGCTCTTGTCTGCTGGGCCTTCACAGCTGCGGCAGTGGTGGGGGCACCAGTTGCCCTGGGAGTGGCAGGATTGACTACTGTTGGGGTTGCTGCTGGAGCAACTGCAGGGGGCGCCGCAATAGGTAAAATCAAAGCAAGCTTTAATGGCATGATGGAGTAAACAAAGCCAATGGTAGTGTTTGTGATTATAGTGTTTAGATCATATGACTTATTGAGTAGAATTTATCATTGATGATTGACTTAGTCTTTTTTTTTCTTTGCTCTGATAATGTAAGGATGTGTATTTTGTGTGTATCCATTTTGGGTCACCCATGTTCCTCAACTATTAGCCCACTGAGCTAAAGCCCGTTAAAGTCACAAAGCCACCTCCATGACAATAGGTTTCAAGTGGTATTCAGCATAACCAGAAGTCCTGGAAAATATCTATGATGATGCGTTTTGTGTCAAAAAGCATAATCATAGATTTTTTCCAGGAAGTAAATATAGGCTTTCTATTAGGATAGCTATGAGGCTTTTGTATGCAATGTATATCATTATATTTTGGGACTATATGAAGGGTGGACTGACGGGCTAAAACATTTTTCTTGAGTAAAAGCCCTTTTAACCTTTCGAATCCAAAATGGTGAGTACCTAGTTTACAATCAACAACCAAGGTTACTCTGATGGATTGGGTGAATTACAAGTTGAGTTGCCATAAAAGGAGGTTATCATAAAATAGCAATCTTTTCTTTACCATTTAGGAAGTGGTACAATTGCTGCAGCAGCAGCAGCAACAGTGGGAGCAGGTAAGATCATTTATTTAGTTAGCATGAATTTAAATGATCAATTACCAGCTTCAAATAATTTTACAGATGTATTACTACTTTGTTTTGTCGTTTATGCCTAACAGTCACATGACAGTGATGCTATTGTCAACCTCCTATAACAGGGGGCTAGGTATGTTTTTGGTTGGTTGCTCAAGTGTTTCTGCTGGGCTTTCATAGTTGCGACAGTGGCAATGGCACCAGTTGTCTTAGGAGCGATAGGATTCACTGCTGGTGGGATTGCTGCTGGATCATATGCAGCAAGCATGATGTCTGCAGCGGCCGCGGTAAATGGAGGTGGGGTAGCAGCAGGGGGTCTTGTTGCTGCTCTACAGTCAGCAGGTAAATACGAAGAATGCTACAATCCTTCGATGAAATAAATAAAGACAATGGTGGAGTTTGTGATATCATAACTTACTAAATCATATGACTTGATATCATTTATCATTGATGTTTGGATTTGCTTTGTTTTTTATGTGGGACAGTGACAGATGTGTATGTGGTGAACCTAGGTGCTGCAGGCCTTTCAGGAGTGGCTACAGCGGCGGTGGGAGGTGTTGGAGCGGCAGTTAGTGGAGCCGGGGGATGGCTGGCCGCAGGAGCAGGGTTCTCAGGAGCGGCAGCGGCTACTACAGCAACTGCGGCAGGTATGTGAGTGGCAATGTAAGGAAGTTCGTATCTCATGTGTGGGATAGTGACGTGTGTGGTCTTCTCTTGGTGCAGCAGGGCTCTCTGCAACAGCTACAGCAGCTGTGGGAGGTGTTGGAGCAGCAGTTGGGGGAACAGTGGGATGGCTGGCCTCAAGGACTAGGACACCTGAAAAGGAGGAAGGAGAAGAGACAGGAGCAGCTACAGCAGCTGCTGCAGGAGGTTTGTCAGATTCATTTATCATTGATAAATTGGTCATGTAAGTCAAATTAATGTTTGGCCTCTAGAGCCAAGGACTGTATAGGCTAAGGCTGGTTCATGTAGGTAAGCTACCACTATGGGGCAGTAGTCAAAGTGCAAGCAGTAGTTGTCACTTAATTGCATACACGAAAAGACAAGGTACTTTGGTAGGTAAGGTAAAGGCTTGATCAGGTGTGGGTTGCAGGGAGGGGGCGTGGCCAGAAGGTAATTGGGATAAGAGCCATGACCCTTCACAACAGTAAGGATGTTTGTATCTCGTATGTGGGACAGCAATGTGTGTGTTCTTCCTCTAGGTGCTGCAGGGCTTTCAGGAGAGGCTACAGAGGCTGTGGGAGGTGTTAGCGCAGCAGTTGGTGGAGCGTCTGAAGAGGAGGGAGGAGTCAAGGAGAGAGAGCTTTCAGGAGCGGCTACAGCGGCTGTGGGAGGTGTTAGAGCAGCAGTTGGTGGAGCGTCTGAAGAGGAGGGAGGAGTCAAGGAGAGAGAGCTTTCAGGAGCGGCTACAGCGGCTGTGGGAGGTGTGTGAGCGGCAGCTGAGACAGAGTAATTTATCATTTTAATTGGTAATGTAAGGATATTTGTATCTCGTATGTGGGACAGCGATGTGTGTGGTCTTCCTCTAGGTGCTGCAAGGCTTTCAGGAGTGGCTACAGCGGCTATGGGAGGTGTTAGAGCAGCAGTTGGTGGATCGGCGGGATGGCTGTTCTCAAGAATCAGGACGTCTAAAAAGGAGGGAGGAGAGTAGAGAGGGAAGAGAGAAGAGGGAGGATGAGAAGAGATCCCGGAAGAGGGCCCTTTATATAAGAACTATGAATGATACTGCAACATTCATTAAGGGTTTATTAATGATTTCATGATGGTGTTATGAGTGCATATGTATACCCCCTTTGGTGTTGCCAAAACACACATACTGGTATACAGCTCTGGAAAGAAATTGAGACCACTGCAAAAATATAAGTTTCTCTCGTTTTACTATTTATAGGTATGTGTTTGGGTGAAATTAACATTTTTGTTTTATTCTATAAACTACTGACAACATTTCTCCCAAATTCCCCCCCAAAATATTGTCATTTAGAGCATTTATTTGCAGAAAATGAAAACTGGTCAAAATAACAAAAAAGATGCAGTGTTGTTAGAACTCAAATAATGCAAAGAAAATAAGTTCATGTTCATTTTTAAACAACACAATACTAATTTTTTAACTTAGGAAGAGTTCAGAAATCAATATTTGGTGGAATAACCCTGATTTTCAATCACAGCTTTCATGCGTCTTGGCATGCTCTCTACCAGTCTTTCACATTGATGTTGGGTGACTTTATGCCACTCCTGGCGCAAATATTCAAGCAGCTCTGCTTTGTTTGATGGCTTGTGACCATCCATCTTCCTCTTGATCACATTCCAGAAGTTTTCAATGGGGTTCAGGTCTGGAGATTGGGCTGGCCATGACAGGGTCTTGATCTGCTGGTCCTCCATCCACACCTTGATTGACCAGGCTGTGTGGCATGGCGCATTGTCCTGCTGGAAAAACCAATCCTCAGAGTTGGGGAACAATGTCAGAGCAAAAGGAAGCAGGTTTTCTTCCAGGACAACCTTGTACGTGGCTTGATTCATGCGTCCTTCACAAAGACAAATCTGCCCGATTCCAGCCTTGCTGAAGCACCCCCAGATCATCACCGCTCCTCCAGCAAATTTCACAGTGGGTGCGAGACACTGTGGCTTGTAGGCCTCTCCAGGTCTCCGTCTAACCATTAGACGACCAGGTGTTGGGCAAAGCTGAAAATTGGACTCATCAGAGAAGATGACCTTACTCCAGTCCTCTACGGTCCAATCCTTATGGTCTTTTGCAAACCTCAGCCTGGCTCTTCTTTGCTTCTCATTGATGAAGGGCTTTTTTCTAGCTTTGCACGACTTCAGCCCTGCCCCTAGGAGCCTGTTTCAAACCGTCCTCGCCGTGCACTTCACCCAAGCTGCCGTTTGCCATTCTTTTTGTAGGTGACTTGATGTCATCCTACGGTTGTTGAGTGACATTCGAATGAGTTGGCGGTCATCCCGGTCAGTAGAGAGTCGTTTTCGCCCTCTGCCGGTCTGTAGCTTTGTTGTCCCCAATGTCTGCTGCTTGACCTTGTTCTTATGAACCGCCGTCTTTGAAATTTTAAGGATGAAAGCAACCTGACACTCACTGTATCCCTTTTTGGCATGGTCAATAGTAATTTTTTGATTAATATTACTTTTGAGGTACTATTAGCACTGTTTTTTTGTATTGCAAGAGGATAGTGATGACCACAGCAGTGGTTTTTATACTTTTCCTCGTTAAATAAGATTTGGTTCAGGTGATCACCTAATCAGTACCTAATTCAGTAGAATGAGGTGTGCCTGTGTTGGAATTCAACAGACACTGGAATGGAATGGCTGTCATACATGTAGAGATGCTGATTTAAGAAAAATTTGCAGTGGTCTCTTAATTTTTTCCAGAGCTGTATATCCACTCAACATGTATTACAAACATATGTATACACACACACTCAGAGGAACACATAGGCATGTGTCAAAATAACACACGTGTGTTCAAAAAAGTCAATTGTATAATGGAAACATGTTTTTTTTGTTGTCACCGTACCCAACCCTATGACACACCAAACACAGAACAGGTGTGTAACACGCTTTGCAGGTGTGGTTCCCTTGCGCATGCTAATAAATGTAATTCAACCACTGAAAACCCTCCCACGTCCTGGCCAACAGATTTTCCGGTGGGGTTTTCATTCAATAGTGTTTTCAGTACACTTATCTAAAGCCATCGCTTTCAATTTGGAGTACCTTCAATTCGAATTTTCTCAACAGACTCACTAGAATATATGGAGAGAATGTTCCAAATATGCACGCATATTTGTCTCCTTGGAGCACCAATTGAAAAATACTCTGATCTTGTATATTATTTAGGGTTCGGAAAGAATTTATGAATAAAAAAAACAGGTTTGGAGAGCCTTTACGCACAGAATATATTGGTGAATCAAAAATACGGTGGTTTGATTCATCCTGAAAGTTGACATATTCAATTGTTCAAGCCATGAAATATTGGAAGGTGAGAAAAGTGTACAATAGGGGTTGAACAGTAGTCTATAAATCTACCCTAATAATCGTCACTAATCACGGATGACAACGGTCCAGTAGTCGTGAACCGTGCGCCAGGCTCCAGGTTTAAACTGCTAGGTATGGTCTGCGTTCCATAATGATTCAAATATGCCACATGCCCTTAATTATTGCACATGTAATACGTTAGCCTAATATGATCCACTATTGCTAGCAATCCTCAGGAATAACCACACGAACGTGACAGAGGAAAGAAATAACGATGTAATGGAATGATGAGTGGCGTCATTAGGCCTAGGTTTCCGGGGCTTCAGCCCAATATGTTTTTGTTCCAGAATGAGAGAATGTTTTTCTGACTGAACCACACATCTTTTGACAGTAACGCAGTGCCCCGCTTTGGACTGAAGCTGAACTTTACAACATTATATTTAACCCTGTTTTAAATTAGCAATGTTGAGGTGGTAGAACTGACCAAATGAAGTTAATCATAGACTTATTATAACCTATTCCATTCTACAGGTAAACATGCTTGGCTCATGTCTGTTTTTTCCATATAGGCTATGTAACTATTTGTAGCTACTTAGACTTTTTCTATCATTGTTGCGCTGTCAAGAGGATAACCTGCAAGTTAGCATTTCATTGCATTATGTACTCCATGTGTATATGACATAAACACACTTGAACTTTCTTCCCACCTTACTAGCTCTGACTTTGCTGATAGCTACTTTGTGGAAAGTGTACTTACTATTACATTTTACATTTTAGTCATTTAGCAGACGCTCTTATCCAGAGCGACTTACAGTTAGTGAATACATATATATATATTTTTTAATACTGCCCCCCCCCCGTGGGAATCAAACCCACAACCCTGGCGTTGCAAACGCCATGCTCTATCAACTGAGCTACATCCCTGCCGGCCATTCCCTCCCCTACCCTGGACGACGCTATGACTTTGATATGTGGTGGTCCCACCCAGCCATCTTAAGATGAATGCACTAACTGTAAGCCGCTCTGGATAAGAGCGTCTGCTAAATGACTAAAATGTCAATGTAAAATGGAAGGGGGAGGGCAGCCAGAAGAAAGGTGAAAGATGGCCAGCTTTGTGGTTAGATTGTAGGTGAAGAAAACATAAAAAATACATAGGCCCTTAAGTTGTGTCCTCAAATATTATTGAATCTAAACATCTCACATTAGCTGGTAGAACTGACGAGGTCTTATAACTTATTCCATTCTACATGTATTTTTATTTTTAGCTCATGTCTCTTTATAAGGTTAAACGGTTTGGTCTGGGTATAGCTATAATTAAAACATTGGAGAGAAATTTGGCGTGACTCATTGCGCACTGCTTTGCATCGTCATCACATGCTCACATGTACCTATGTGGCTTGCGTCTCCAAGTTTCATCCTTTCAAGTTAAAAGGCCATACAATTTAAATTCTGCGTAATGGCACAACATTTCATAAATGTCACTGTGGGAAAGTTGGTATGTTGATATGCTTCAGTTTATTGCCAAATGGCTGGTTTCACATTTGTCTCCAGCGATCATAAAGTAAAATACATCTAAAACAATTGTCCCTTATATTTACAATCCCCTTATCCAAATGGCTTACTCATTTACCTAGCCTTTATCAATAGCTTTTATCAATTTGTAAATTACAGTTAATTGAGAATGGGGTTTTTTCTATCGGGAAAAATAAAGTAGATTATGTTCCTCTTGGAACAGACAGGTTGCTCGACCGTATTCATTGTTTCATTGCATGTAAAGGTGGTGGAATTCTGAGGGAATTAAGTTAAGGTTAGAATATGGCATATCTGTAGACAGACCTCTGCCACACATCAATTTCTGTGATCTCCACCCCAAAAGAATAGCTGGCTGAAACATGCGTTACCTCATGCCTAAGTTGAAGGTCAGAATACACGTAGAGAGAAAAGTGCATAAAAAGGAATTAAGTTCCATTTACGCTCACATAACTCTGGTCTGACTCGGCCCCAAAGTGTCTTACTCATGGCCACCAAGGCAGTAGGGGATTGCAGCTGAAAAGTAATGTAGGCCTAAATAAACTTGTCTGAGACCAAAAGATTTGTGTAAGCTCCCTGAGCTAATGCTTACTGTAGCAGGTTAACACAGTCTTGTGGCCTGCAGGAGACCTAGGTTAGACACCAGTTTGTCCCAACGGTGGTACAAGGTCAGGGCCTGGATGGGTATCTGTGAGGAGGTGAAATGGGTGGTGGAGTGTAACGAAGGTGGTTCTGTAAACCATGCTTGTGTGTTTAGAAACCTTTTCTGATACCTAAAGAGGTTAAAGTGAGAGGCCAGTTACTGAAAGGTTGCCGGTATGAATCCCAGGGAAGAAAGGAAAAACTATCTTCTCAAATGGGAAACAGTGTATGGGAAACAGTGTCCGGTCCCGTGTCAGTGTCATGATCCGGTCCACTGGCTGCTTGAACACAGCCTTTCATTCTCAGCCTCATGAATAGCTTGGACATATTGGTTGACTGATCCATCAAGAATCAGGAAATGATCACCATGTCCCTCTGAAATGTGGCCAATAATCAAAACAGGCAAGCTGTCACATAAACCAGTAGACGGTGTAATGGTAGAGGTTGCGTCAATCCCTAGAGGCAACACAACAAGGAACTGCACATTATACATTTGTGAGGCTCTCTGAAGAGTTATATGGTCTCCATAGGTCCCATGTTGTGCCATGTCCCTCCCACAAACCAAGACAGTGGCGTCCCATCTATTGTGTATTGGTGACATGTTAAATCTGCAATAATATTATCTTCTAAGTGATGTCATAGACCTGAATGTTCCAATAGTCGTCAGCCATGGCAGCCAACTGAAAACTGCCATCTGGCACTGGGTCAAGACGAATCCGCAGCTCTGAATATTCAACTGACTCCAGTCTCTCCTCGTGTGTAGGGAATGAAATAATTGGTTTGTGGACCTTTTCTTTTTTTTGATAGAAGACTTGGGAAGCTGTTCTTGCTTTCTTGTGACACTGGTCACATCTGATTTTTGTGTCACTGTGGGACTGTTGGACGTCTGGAATTCAACCTTGTATTTTGAAAGCTGGACGTTTTTCCTCACAACTTTACAAGGCAATACAATATGTTGTTTTGAAACTCTGTGTGTGCTGCTCTTCACCCTGACCAGAACTTTACCATTCACCATGTAAACCGAGGGTGGATTGCCTCCAGATGCACAACAAATCATCCGTTTCATGCAATGCTTTGTGGTTTTTAATGCCCTTTTTCTGATTTTACAACGCTTCTCCTCAAACTGGAGGCTTTGCTTCTGGGATGGCAGGGGATCTTTGCCTCGTGCAGGGGGTTCTTCATTAACCTCGTCTGGAAACAGGTTAACTGATTGGTGATCCTGTCACTCTTCCTTCCATAATACACCTGGAAAGGAGGAATCCATCTCAGAACCTCCTTTGGATCGCCATTCATCATCCTTGAGGAAACGGGCAAATGCTTGGCCCAGTTGAATCCTCCCCCTGAAAGTTTAAGGTCAAACATGATCTTCTTCCTCAACACCCAGTGGCTCCTCTCCACTTTACCCTGACTCTGTGGGTGGTATGGAGAACTCTGGATGATTTTGACCAGGAGCGATTCCATCAGCTGCACCTTTGAATAATTTTCCTTGGGCATGCTGCAAAACCATGCTCACAATAGATATCAGCAAGATGTTTGGCAATCTCTGTGCTCTGTTTCCCTTGTAATGGACTCAGCCATACATTCTGGCTAAACACATCAACTATGGTCCGGATGTACCTGTATGTGACTGCCATGCTTAACCAGCCATTTTTCCATGTGAAGAAGGTCAATTTGATGGCGTCCTTGAACCACTTTGGCCTTTATGGGCTTTGGAATGGGCTTGTTTGCAAATCTTGCCTTATGGAGTTGGTAGAGCCTTGAGTTATCCAATGTTTTTTGCACACCATTTTCACTGATGCCAGAGTAATGTTCCTTCAGTTGTATCTTTAACTTTCTTGCACCAGACCCTTTCGTATAATGAAGACTCTTTTTCACAATTGCTGTGAATGCAGACTTCTTAGCCATCCTCACTGAGATAATAGAGGTCCCTATTCCTCCACAGTCGAACAAGAGCATTGCGTTGGGTTCTTGATCTCTCTCCTCTCCTACAGGGACATTGAATTCCCCCTTCAGTGCCTTCCTACGGGGCACAGATGTCAATTCAACGTCTATTCCACGTTGGTTCAATGTGATTTCATTAAAATTATGTGAAAACAATGTTGATTCAACCAGTGTTTGCCCAGTGGGTTGAGTATGGCATCATAGGTGTCCTCAGTCATTGCTTGATGTCCATGTCCCATACCAAGGCCCCAAAGGGTACAGGACAGGAGAATGATTATCTGCATCATTCTCATTGCTCCAGCTCTGTGAGACACTTTAAATGGTTTTAATTAGTAATGTTTCTTAGCATAATCCCTTGAATGCTTGATTGGTTTTTTGAGTAGTAAAACAAATATCAGTTGGAAGGTAGTACCCAGTCCTGGTCCTGGAGAGCCAGAGGGTGCAGGCTTTCCCCCAGACCAATAGGCCTTTTATGTGATTTGTATGATTTTAAAAACCATCTTTAAGCTTTTTGTGTGGTAGTGATAGAAGAAGCATGAGAGTGTGTAAAAATGAGAACATAGATAAGATCTAGCCTACACAAGTTAGAGTTGTTCTGATATCCCCAGCGGAAGATGTAAAAAGTGTTTACCCTGGGGCCATATGTATCAACCGTCTGAGAGTAGGAGTGCTGATTTAGGATCAATTTTGATTTTAGATCACAATAAATTAGATCATATGGACAGGGGGAACCTGACTCTGAGATGCTTGAAACATGCTGCCCCAGGTGTCCTGGCTAAAATATCAACCTGGAAGAAGTGGAGGGTGCTCAACCAAAGTGAGTCGAGGTGCAATTAAAACATTTAATGACCATTGAAAAGTAAAAGGCACAACGCTCGCTCACCATTTAAAAGTTCAATGTTTTATTTAAGCAAAGTGAAAAAGGTTGATGTTTCGGTCATCAATGGCCTTCATCAGAACACTGACAAAAAGGCAGAGAGGAAGAGGCTAAGCGAGAGTGTTTACTCTGCCCAATATCTTTCTATGAAAATATGACCACGAAGTGAGGAGTTTTTGTATGGAGGTCAATGAGTAAAAAAAATGCCAATTTGCTACGTGATGCTTATTTGATAGAATAGAACATAATGGTTAGGTTGTTATGAATGCACTGATATAAGTGGACGCACGTGGCATTTCGGCAACCTTGAACAAAATGACTTTATATCGGAGTTGTGCCTGTTGTTCACACACGTATCTGCCCTCTCATTGTCTAGAATGGTTCCACCTGATCACACCTCCTCCCACCTGCCTTCCATCTTTGAGGACAATTAATGATGGGAAGTTCGGCTCTTTTCTGAGAGCCGGCTCTTTTGACTCGGCTCCCAAAGAAGAGCCGGCTCTTTCGACTCCCGAACGGCTCTTTATTTAGGATCTTTTGTAGCCTATATTTTACCTTAACTTTGAAAAAAAATCATGGTTTATGTGTTGAAAACCCTTTTGCTTTCAGTGTTTTTATGAGAGACCTTATAATGCCTAATTCTGTGCATTTATTCTGTGACAAAACCACTCTTACATTTGTTTATTTCAATTAAACTTTTTTATTGCACAAATTAACAATAAACTTCAAACAAATCCACAGAACAGAATCAAAACCAGAACCAAACTCCAGCAAACAGCATTAGTCCTCAGGGCAGGTTGGCATTCAGGAAGATCAGATGCCTCAGCTTGGATGGGCTGATAGGCCTGATACGATTTCGCCTCTCCGTGAGTATCTGCCCTGTTTTGGAGAAGATTCTCTCAGAAGGAACTGATGTGGCAACAATACATAGTCTCCCCTCCATCACCTTCACCAGGAGTGGAAAGACTGAGGCCTTGGCCTGCCACCAGCTCAGTGGGTCTTCTGCTCTCTGGATGAGGGGCTCCTCAAGGTAGCTCCTCACCTCCATTATAGCATCAGCTGTCGGATTTCTCCTTGAAGCATCTCCTGTAGCTCTGTCATCAAAAAGCCTCCAAACAGCAGAGGTTTGCTGCTCCTCCTCCACTTGGCCCTGTAATGGTGGAGCTGGCTGGCTGCTGGGGGTGCATTTTGCTGCTGCTGCTGCACTAATCCTCTGAAGAGCTTCATCAACAGCTCTACGATCACTGAAGGCAAGTTTTTTAAACCTTGGATCCAATAAGGTAGTTTCTGAAAGGACAGTGTTGTACTCCATCCGCAGAAATTTGCGGTCCATGGCTGAACAAAGAGCTGCAACTAATTCCTTCACTTTCTGCACAGTTACTGTCCATTGGTTCTCGGCTGTCACCAGCTGCAGACCTTTGCAAAGCAGGAGCATTTTCGAGGCTGTGACATAGCTGAAGGAGAGAAAACAGCAACTTTTAGAATTTAGTTTTTTAAAAGTATGTGGCATATTATACGTGATGCATTATACTGTATGTGTTGTGTTTGCAATGTATAATAGTGACTGAATAGTAGTAGAGAAAACAATGCTTCAATGGTTCTAGGTACCTGTCTGCACTTATCTCCACAGTCACCTCCTGGAATGGTTGCAGGACGGCGCAGACCTCTTTCACCAGCTCCCATTCCTCTTGGCTTAATGGCTCAATAGATGCGTTGATGAGGGCCAGGGTGGAGATGATGGCATCTTTTATTTCAAGCATTCGTTTCAACATATCAAATGTTGAGTTCCACCTGGTGGCACACTCTTGTTTGGGCCTCAGTTCAGGAATCCCCATTTGGCGCTGTGTGGACTTTAGCTTCTGTGCTGCTACTGTGCTTTTGTGGAAAAACTCCACAACAGCCTTCACCTTATCCACGGTTGTTTTGATCACCTTCAGAGCATCTCTAACCACCAGGTTTAGTGTATGCGCCAGACATGGGTGATGGGTCCACTTCAAAACTTTTATGGCTTTGGTGATGTTTGCAGCATTATCACTCACACAGCACACCACTTTGTCCTCTACTTGCCACTCTTTTGCCACTCTTAGTAGCTCCACTGCCAAGTTTTCTGCAGTGTGTCTGTCGGTGAACTCGAAGCAGTCCAGAAGGCAAGATGTCATCTTGTAATCTTCAATAAAGTGGCAAGTGACAGACATGAAAGAGCAGGTTGTTCTGGAGGTCCAGCAGTCAGTTGTCAGGCAAACTGATGGAGCTTTTGTCACCCTTTCTTGCCATAATGCACGTTCTGTGTCATATAGTTTTGGGATCATTGTTTGGGAAAGTGTTTTTCTACTGGGTAGAGTGTATGTGGGATTTAGGGCTTTGACAAAGTTTTTCATTCCTTTGTCCTCCACAATGGAAAAGGGTTGAAAATCAGAAGCTACCATTTTAGCCAACTCATCATCAATACTGTGCTGTTTGGCTGGGGTCATCAGTTTAGGTAAAAACTGACTTATTTTGCTTTGAGTTGCAGTAGGAGAGGTTATACTTGCACGCATGGGGATGGCAGTAGACGTTACAGCAGCTGTTGTTCTGGTATGAGACACACCAGGATCAGTAGATGGTGAGCTGGCTTGCCCTCTCTCCTCTAACTGCACTGTAGGATGGACAGTTCTTGTATGTCTATGCAGGTTTGTGGTGGAACCTGCTCTTATAGTGACCTTCGTTTTGCAGTGAAGGCACTCTGCTTTCTTGTTCCCAATATCTTTAAACTGCAGCCAGATGCTGCTTCGCTTTCTAGTGTCACTCATAGTTAAACGACACGACAATGCAAGACGCACACACGCTCCTCAGTCCGCTCTGTCTCTCTCTTCACTTGCAGTGGAGTCAAGTGGTGTGTCTGCCCCGCCCCCTCTCTGTTTACACATCCTTAATTCTCACGTGAATGCCGCATGCTGGTCGCCATGCTGGCCAATCATAACAGACCTCTGTGAAAGTGAAACCTAAGCAGCGAATGGGCAAAAAACTGGGAGCCGGCTCTCACTCGATGCGAGCCGGCTCTTCTGATTCACTACAAAGAGCCGGCTCTCAGAGCCGATGCTTGTGCGCATGACCCATCACTAGAGGACATGTATTTCCATTGTTAGAGCGGTCACTCAATTATCTTGTTAATATAATAGATCATCTTTGATATAGGTCATGGGGAAGACAATAACTATTCAGCTGGTGGTGCTAATAAGAGAGGGTGTGGTAAACAATACAAGTTGGTCCTCAGGGTGAGAGATACTGTGGTCTATGGCTCCATCTACTGATCAAATACAGAATAGTTAACAATAATACAATGGAAAAGTTAGGGCACGTATATAACTGCAGCAGATAGAGTTGATGCAAAACAAATACTGGAACTAGTAGAATATATGTGACCCACCACCTGGATTCGGGTCCTATGGAGCAAAATTTGAAATTGTGTTTTTTACATTGGATAAAAGTAGAGACTCAGAGCTAGAAAATGGTATATCATACACTGCAGTTGAGGAACAATGGGAAAGTAATTCTGCTTTGAATGTTGATAAACTTGTAACCCCACCTTTGAGAAAATGGGCCTTGACTGTTTAGGTACACCTACTGGAGAGCTCTTCTTTGTCTACACCCATTCAGCATCGTTCACACCCTCTTATGCCTTAGCCCCACCCATCCCTGCTAAATTCAGGGAATCAACCTTGTTGAGAAAAGTAGCAAGACTTTTGTAGTTCTTGATGGCTAACGTTATATCTTTCAAAAAAGTTGCAGTAGAAAGCATCATCAACACATACTGAGCAGCTCACATTATAGACAGCAGCATGCTACATGGCAGACCAATCTGAACTCATCTCCCAGTATGTCCAGCCCATCCATTATCTCAGCTAATCACGGCTAGCGGGAATGTTCCTGTCTTTTTCCGTGGCTAAACCAACTAGGCTCGTAATTTAACAATTGTATTAGTATTTACAGATGGCATACCATTTTGTTATTAAAGGCACGTGAAAGTTCACATGTTCCAGAAGGCATTTCTGCCAAAATACGCATTTTGATAAAAAAAAACAAAAAAAAGTTCAAATGCCTCTCCTGTGAAGAAGTGACATGTGACATATGCCTAGCTTCCTGAAACGAGTCACATACACTACATGACAAAAAGTATGTGGACACCTGCTCTTTGAACATCTCATTCCAAAACCATGCGCATTAAGATGGAGTTGGTCCCCCCTTTGCTGCTATAACAGCCTCCACTCTTCTGGGAAGGCTTTCCACTAGATGTTGGAACATTGCTGCGGGGACTTGCTTCCATTCAGCCACAAGAGCATTAGCGAGGTCAGGCACTGATGTTGGGCGATTAGGCCTGGTTCGCAGTCGGCGTTCCAATTCATCCCAAAGGTGTTCGACGGGGTTAAGGTCATGGCTCTGTGCAGGCCAGTTCTTCCACACCGATCTCGACAAACCTTTTCTGTATGGACCTTGTTTTGTGCACGGGGGCATTGTCATGCTGAAACAGGATTCTGGAAGCACAGAATCGTCTAGAATGTCATCGTATGCTGTAGCGTTAAGATTTCCGTTCACTGTAACTAAGGGGCCTAGCCCGAACCATGAAAAACAGCCCCAGACCATTATTCCTCCTCCACCAATCTTTATAGTTGGCACTATGCATTGGGGCAGGTAGCGTTCTCCTGTCATCCGCCAAACCCAGATTCATCTGTCGGACTGCTAGATGGTGACGCTCGAGAGAGCGTGTTTCCACTGCTCCAGAGTCCAATGGCGGCGAGATTTACACACCTCCAGCCGATGCTTGGCATTGCGCATGGTAATCTTAGGCTTGTGTGCGGCTGCTCGGCAATGGAAACCCATTGTTTGAAGAGAGTGCACAACAACAAAAAAGTATCACGGCAACTGGTTTGATACATTCACCTTTGAAGGTAAATAATGTACTTACATTCAGTAATCTTGCTCTGATTTGTCATCGTGAGGGTCCCAGAGATAAAATGTAGCATAGTTTTGTTTGATAAAATCTATTTTTATATTCAAATGTAGGAACTGTGTGTCTACGGTTTGAACCCTTGCTGTCTCTTGCTCCACACCCACCCCACCCGGCCATCTAGATGTGTGAAAGTTAGTGTATAAGCTAATGATCCATCATGTATGACATTCCTGGGAGTGTGTAAACTTACATTTTGTATTACCATATCATTTTTGTGTGTTCTCTATAGTTATGTACTTGAAAATGTATCAATTGACCAATTCGGCACATTTGGGCACACTTGATACAAAATAGTCCAGTATTGCTATGCTTCACTGGATAAATCTTCAACTTTGCAAACACACTGATGCCATCTAGTGGCCAAAATCTAAATTGCGCCTAAACTGCAATATTATATTGTGGCCTTTCTCTTGCATTTCAAAGATGATGGAACAAAAAAAATACTAGAAAACGCATGTTTTTTGGTTTGTATTATCTTTTAACAGATCTAATGTGTTATATTCTCCTACATTGTTTTCACATTTCCACAAACTGCAAAGTGTTTCCTTTCAAATGTTATAAAGAATATGCATATCCTTGCTTCAGGTCCTGAGCTACAGGCAGTTAGATTTGGGTATGTCATTTTAGGCGGAAATTGAAAAAAAGGGTCAGATCCTTAAGAGGTTAATCCTGACCTGATTAGTTCCAAACCTCCAAAGAACTACAACATGCTTATAACAATATCAGAAACATTAATAACCACACTAATAATAAACAATACCACTTCAAATCAAATCACATTTTATTGGTCACATACACATATTTAGCAGATGTTATTGCGGGTGTAGCGAAATGCTTGTGTTCCTAGCTCCAACAGTGCAGTAGTATCTAACAATTCACAACAATACACAAATCTAAAAGTAAAAGAAATAGTAAAAATAAAGAAAAACCCTTGAATGAGTAGGTTTGTCCAAAATGTTGACTGATACTTCATATAAACATTTTCCTTAATGTATACATTTTAGAGATTATTTTTAAACCTGTGGATTGTTTTAAATTGCAGTTGGAAGGGCCCACAATTTGGGTAGCGCGTGCGGCAAATACCACAGATTATTGTTGAGTTGCGACTGTCAGTGAAAAGTAGAGAGGCCTAGCCCGGCATATAGCAATATTTCAAAATACAGTCGCGGGAAACATAGTTTGGAAAGCAAATAGCTATTGCTTTAAAGAGAAGATCTGTCACGCCCTGACTCTGGGGACTCTTATTTGTTGAGTCAGGGTGTGATTTTCTATGTTGTATTTTCTATGTGGGTTCTAGTATGTGTATTTCTATGTTGGCCGGTGTGGTTCCCAATCAGAGGCAGCTGTCGCTCGTTGTCTCTGATTGGGGACCATACTTAGGCAGCCTATTGGCACTGTGTAGTTGTGGGATCTTGTTCCGTGAAAGGTATGTTGTTTGTGTCTACCTTGGACTTCACGTTTCGTTTCTTGTTTTGTCGAGTGTTATTTAAGTTTAAATAAACATGTATGCATATCACGCTGTGCCTTGGTCCGTCCCGTTTATGAACGAACGTGACAGAAGATCCCACCAAACGAGGACCAAGCAGCGTGCCCAGGCGGAGAGAGTAGCCATGTCACAGGTGGGCAATTGGTGGTCATGGGAGCAGATATTTTTGGGAAAAGGACCCTGGGCGAAGAAGGAAGCCCAGGCAGGAGAGGAGCAACGGCAACACGGAAGCCGGCCCGAGAAGCAGCCCCAATATTTTTTTTGGGGGGGGCTAAAGGGGTGGTCGGGGAGCGAGAGAGAAGAGCCCCGACCACTGCACCCGGTTGGTTTTCAGATTGGGTCCCTACGACCATGGGAAGAGGAGTGGGAACAGTATTATACTGAGGAGTCGGAGGATGACGACGACGACGACGACGAGTTTCTGTTCCCTAACTCGTGGGGGCTCCCGGAGGAGTCCTCACGGGAAGAGGAGTGCCGACGACGGAGACCCGAGAGGCAACCCCAAGAAAATTTCGGGGGGGGTGGGCACACGGGGTGGATGACGAGGCAGCAGGAGGCCGTGGAAGGGCGAATCTGCAGGTTAGGAGAGGAGGGCACCATGTTACGGGGGCTATTGGTTCAGAGGGAGCAGGAGTTATTCGGTCAGAGGGAGGCGCTACAGGAGGCTAAAAGGGAGAAGGAAAGTGTAGAGGCATGGCGAGAGGAGCTGGTTAGGCAGCAGAAGCAGGTCTGGTCCGGCCCGTTCCTGCTCCCCGCACTAAGCCAGTGGTGCGTGTTCCCAGTACGGCCCGACCCGTTCCTGCTCCCCACACCAGGCCAGTGGTGCGCGTCGCCAGCCCGGTCCGGCCTGTTCCTGCCCCTCGCACCAAGCCAGTGGTGCGCGTCGCCAGCCCGGCCTGTTCCTGCCCCTCACACCAAGCCAGTGTTGCGCGTCTCCAGCCCGGTCCGGCCTGTTCCTGTCCCTCGCACCAAGCCAGTGGTGCGCGTCGCCAGCCCGGCCTGTTCCTGCCCCTCGCACCAAGCCAGTGGTTTGCGTCGCCAGCCCGGCCCGGCCTGTTCCTGCTCCTCGCACCAAGCCAGTGGTGCGCGTCGCCAGCCCGGCCCGGCCTGTTCCTGCCCCTCGCACCAAGCCAGTGGTGCGAGTCACCAGCCCGGCCCGGCCTGTTCCTGTCCCTCGCACCAAGCCAGTGTTGCGCGTCGCCAGCCCGGTCCTTCCTGTTCCTGTCCCTCGCACCAAGGCAGTGGTGCACGTCGCCATCCTGGCCCGGCCTGTTCCTGCCCCTCGCACCAAGCCAGTGGTGCGCGGCGCCAGCCCG